AACGAGAAATTAGACAAAAATAAAACTAATGCCTAATAAAAAATAACAATTAGTCAAGTAAATAAAGCAAAATACGTATAGATATATTTTTTACATTTAAATGTATTATGTACAGAGTTTATCAAGGAGCTTATCTATTAATTAGAAGTTGTACAATACACAATTTTTTCTACTACACATTCACAAAATCATATAGCGATTTCTATATTTTGATTCACTAGTAACAAAACATTTTAGCTGACACTTTCTTTTGTATTTTCAAAACTTCTGTAAAAAAGCAGCATATAAATATAAACATTTTCCATTTTATGTTTACTCTCTTTTAAAAGAGATTGTATTAAAGAAACACAATTACCAAAACTAAACAAGCTAAATTAATTCAAATTTGTTTTTTCCTTCGCGTTATTATCCCCACAATCCTTCATTTTAATTTTTTTAAGCATATTTTTCACTTACCTCGTAAAAATTGATGCGTTTCTGGACTATAATTCGCTTTGGCGGGGTGTAAAATGCCCCCCATTTGCACATTTCTGCTCGGCCACTGCATAATCAAAATTTAAAAGCGACAATAATAAATGTAGATATGACGCAAAACGTCATACGTTGCCTTGGGTGCAAGTTGAATCAATTCCAGTTGTTTTGGTAACAATCAAAAGCCACCCCAAACCGTGTTAAGCGTGTGTAAATGAGAATTGATTGTAATAATCAGATCGTAAAACCAGACATTTATTTGATTTTCGCGCTTAAAACTTGCTTTTCTATCGATTTCCTCCCACCAGTCTTCTGTGAGAGAAAGACGGTAGTATGGAAAAAATATAAAGAATGAGAGAGAAAGACAAAACCAGCAGTGATATATTCTGGGAAAGTGAAAATGCAGCGGTTATTATTTTTCGTTGTGGGTTGAATTCTGTTAAGTTTTTATTTCTGGAATGTTGCCTGTGTTGAGAGTAAATAAACCCGCCGATTTGAAGCAGAATAAGACGTCGTGTTTCGTTTGTATTACGCTGCGACAATGGGCGATTTTGTTTTCGATTCTAATTTTTGTAAGTATTGTTGTTGTTTGTCAAATTTTTTAGATTTTAAGTTCAATTTTGATGCAGATTATTATGGCGATAATAACAACCTGTACGGTATTGGGTACTTTACACACCAAACAACTTCTGCATCTTCTTGAAGATGATATTGAAGAAGAAAGAGACAAACACCGATGGGATGATGAGAAATCAATCAGTTCTAATGAAGCGCGATTGCAACATTCGCAAGATATTGTTTTGAGTAAGAATTTTGTTTTTAGTCAATTAAAAAAAAAATGAATTGAATATTCTACAAGTATAAAACTGAAAATAGTCACCACAAATATTTTTTTATTTCATTTTTTTATCTTTATTTTATCTTCCGTTGATTTAAATATGTATTTTCAAATACTTTAAAAAAAAACCTTAATTTTCCATTCCAATTACTCGTAATTAGTCTGGTTTAAAATATTCATCTGCCTTAAAATATTTTTCTCATAATACGATATTATAAGCCTCAGAATCAGAAATTAAAAAAGTGAAAACGTCACTATCATGTTTCTACAAAAGCACTCAAAGCTTATAGTGATATTTTACTATCTTTTTTACGGAAATTGTTTTGTCTCTATACACAAATATAGTCACGCAAGGTTTTAGGTAAATTGATGTTTTCGTTATTATTTATTGAAAATACAATTAGGTGAAGCTTTTCGAACTTTCGCTATTCCCTTAATAGCACAATATTTATACAACAAAGRAGTTTAACGAAATTAATTGATAATAAATAAACAAAATTACAAAAAGTGTAAACGTTTAGAAGAAAAATTGTATGCAACACATACAAAGAGTATAACAAACATTTATTTACAATCTTATATGTTACCGGTATGTCATTTCTTTCCTTGACTAACCTTGACGATGATTGGAAAGTGTCTCATTACTGACCTTCTATCTATCTCTATTACTACCCTCATTTTCTAGCTCAACTTTTGTCACTATAATATTATTGTTTAATATTAAAAGCATCCACTAGCAGTAACTCTGGTGGTGARCACTCCATTAATTCTTCGTTTGAATTCACAATTTCAAAAGATTTAAAGACGTAATGAGCAATAAAACTACCACACACATGTAGCACAAAACCGCGTCACTATGTCATTTACAATGTTTGTTGCTATGACGACGACACGGCTGACAGATGACTTAATCGACGACACAAACTTGTAGAACATTTCTTTTTTACTTTTTTGARAAAAAATGAAGATGCCGTTGTAAATAAAATTGTATACAAACCTCGGTGGAAAGTTTCATTTCTGTCTAAAGCTCGGTAAACTTTCTAAACTCTTACTTACTTACTTTCCACCTCGGTGTGTAWTATACTATTAACAAAAATGCAACAGATACAAAAAGTTATATATTTCTTTGTCAGCTTTTAGCAAAATTCTTTCAATCTGCATGTGGTTGGCATGGCTTAACCTCGTCTTGGCAGCTATCTTAATCTATGGTGTAACCACAATGACTTCCGTCTACATCATCCCTTGGATCCTCATCAGTGGCACTACTTACCTACTAGCGATCACAACCGTGATTATGGCATATTTCAGTTTAATCCCAGGATTATACATCAGTTATTCAGTCTTACGTAAGTGATATTGTAATGAGTATGTCTCAAAAAGCCTGATAAATACTTAAAAAACTTGTAACAAACTAAACACTATAGTATACATACAGGCTGTGCCAGCGAGTTGAAAGTCCATTAGTGACCTTTAAATGGTAAAATAAAAAATATACAGGTGTCTCAGAACTCGTGCTCCAGAAAAAAAWTTCAAGTAAGATGGGATACCAGGAACATRAAACAAATGTTTAAAAAATTCCATTTGTCCAAAAATTTTAACATTTGACATTTTTTTATGTTGAGTTAATGATACTGATGATCTTGTATACAGGGTGATTCTTAAATAGACCGACAAAATTTTATCACAGCTTCCTAAGGATAAATGGAGA